TTATCAGCAGGGGGCATTGATGCAACATTAAATTCTCAATGCAAAACTACCAACCAACCATGCAGATTCTGTAGTGTTTCATGTTTTTAATATGTTTGGTTTCTCCCCTGCATTTTTTGCAAGATCATCTTATTTTTTAAAGCAGAGCTTGAATTCCAGGCCATTTGCTGACAACAGCAATTTGTTTAACAACCTATTTCAGGATTCATCCTGATTTAAGAAAGGTCTTTGTCACTGTTTTATGTAGTTTAAAAGAGAAGAGGCTGATTTTATGACCAGTAGACGTGCAGGCAGAAATTTGAAAGAGGATTCTTCCCAGCAGGAAGAATAAGTGGGTTCAGTGCTTGTGATTTGGTGATGAGCATCAGTTCCTCCCTGACATCAGATCTGGCACATTTGAGGAAATGACTGAAAACACCCTGCTTTCCTATGCTTCTCTGACAGTAGCTACTGACCTGGAGAAGAGAGATATTTCCAGGAGGCAATTTTTAAAGAGCACCATTTTCCCCTCAGTGTGCCTATTTCACTCTCTACTGGCTTTGAGGGAAAAGTAAGAAAGTTGATAATTTAGATTATCACTTACGAAGAATTATCTTAGGTGTAAGAACAGTTTTAAATCCACAGTAACATTGGGACCTTAAGCAACATGTAGGTGAGACCTGCGTTAGGGATGTGGATCATTAAGCTGTTTGCTACAGCAGCAACTACTCTCTGAAGTAACTTAGGTCTTGCTTTCTAGCTTTGGCTCCAGTATCTGGGACAACATGGCATGTCCCAGTTTTTCTGTCTCTCGTATACACACTGCATACAGAATTACACAGTGTAATTCACTTAATTTATTTTCCTCAGGTACATGCAGCCTGCTGCCCTTGTTATGGCAAAAGAGTCATGCAATAGTAAAGCAAAATGTGTTCCTCAAGTATCTCTAGTAATAGAGGTCTTCTGAACACCCTGTGAAACTGGCAGCTATCTTCTGCCTGGTAAAATTAAGACTCCACCCTCTGCAAAACCAGATGCTTGCACTATAATTTTCCTTTAAGATCCTAGAAATGTGGAGTAACACTGGGTCTGATAGCCTTCCCGAGAAATGCAAGATGAGATTTATACAAACAAGGGGAGAAAATAATTAAACTTCTAGCTGTCAAAAGGGAAAATGTATCAGATGTTTAACTTTTTATTTTGTACATGAAGAATGTTATCACTATTTCCAAGTGTTACTAAAACCTCCAAGCCTCAAGTGTAGTATGTGTCTTCCTTCGAGCACATCCCATGAGCTTTTCAGCAGGTGGCATTAACGTTCTGTGTGGTTCCAAATGGCACAAGGCCAGGAAACTGCTCCTTCCAGCACTTAACACTTTAAAATGATCAACAAACCATTGCTGAGAGTAAGCAATATCCTTAGGAGAAAAAGGCTGTGGTAAAATGGCATCTGTTCAGAAATACTATTTAAAAAAAAAAAAAAGAAGCAGAGCACAGATTTATTTTGACTGCTTTGATATTAAATTAGAAGGAACCAAGGGCATCTTTTCTTTTCATTTATTTGGATTTGCCCATCAAGTCATCTGCAGAATCAACATTTTCAAATGAAGAGACCATCACTGAACTTTGAAATGCTCATGCATGTACCAGGAGTACTTATGCAGCACCGCCAATGACCACAAAATGCACCTTTTTTCAAAACAGCCCCATACAGGTTTCCCCAAGCTTAAAGACTTGCTGTTACAAGAGAGTGACAGGAAAGGGAGAGATCCTGAGACGGCAGATACATACAACCAAGTGCAGCTGAGTTACACTTATTTGTGTAAGGCTGAGTGCTCCCAAAGTATCTAATACAAGGACTGCCCTGAAATGCTGAAATGCTGCCCTTGGCTAAAGCAAATTCCAAGTTGCTGTACAACCCTGAGAATGGCTTGCTGACTGATGGTATTTTACTGTACAAATGGCTCATAAAAGCTGTTAAATCCATCATGCCCTCTAAAGGCATTTTAATCTAACGACTATTTTCACTTACATAGAAGCTGCCAGGAAAATCTGTTCTTCAAATGACAAAAAGCAACAGATCCTGACAAGACACGGGATTCTGCCACAGCAGACTAATATATCTTTTCAGTATGCTTTTCATGATTGCTCCATGGTATATTCATTTGTTATCTTTAAGCAAAGCTGTTCCCTGAGAGATGCAGAGGTATATTTTAATTTCTGATTTGTCCTTGTAGGTAGAAAAGCAAGCATCTTTCTGAAGACTGAAGGAAGTGACAGTGAGAGAATCAGATGAAAAGGAGAATATAAAGACAAAGCAAAATACAACATGAATAAACACGCCAAGAAAGAGGAAACCAAACCACACCAAAACAGAATTCTTACTTTCTTAATGCTTGTTTTCAGACTGTAAATTTAAATATTATTGATGGATTGGGTGACATTTCTAGCAACACTTTTGAGGAAAGCTTAAGGACAAACATAGTCAAGAGGGGACTTTTGCCCACCCTGACTTTTAGACAAATGCCAAGGTGCACTACAGCAGAATAGACTGTCTGTCAGGAGAGAATCTCCATAAGAAACAAGTTCTGTCACATTCTTAAATGATGTTGCTTTTAGCAATGCAAATGCAAGTAAAAAGGAAGCCTAACTCCTAAGTAAATCAGTACATATACCTATATTTGTGTTTTAGGGAACGTTGCAGGGACACCATCAAGTTAGAGAGTTTTGAGAGTCTGAAGAGCAGCAGTAACTTCTATTTTGTTCTTAGACAGAACTGCTTTTCCACAGTATTTCTCAGCTCAGAAAATCCAACGGTGAATGTAAAGCCTCAGAGAAGCCAAACACCTAGACACTGCACTGTTCTGCTGCCTGTGAAACAAATGGTCAAGTAGCTATTGATTTTGAAAGGTCTTAAGAGCTGGCCTTTCCTATGAAAACGTCATTGATTAAGGAAGTGCTCTGGGTAGGTATCTGGGGTTAGAAATGTGCAAATAATTTCCCAGCAGTAACTGTGTATGCACCCTCTCCTGCAGAAAATTGGGCCACTGTGTACAACACAAGCCTTCATCAGTTGTGATTTTACCTGTCCCAACTTTAACCAGTACACATGTGGATGTCATGTGGAAGGATGTTTAACACAGCACTCCTTGGGCCAAACCCTGCAAAGTGTGGTTGGAAAAGAATGGGTACTGATACATCATGACAGACGTTTCTGGCTGCACTCTGTCACACATGTTCCAGAAGGTGAAGATGGGAGATGTTCCACAAGGAGTTTTGGCAAGAAATGCCACCATAAATTAAAAGTATGTGACGAAGTAAATGTACGTGAGACTGGGCAGGGAAAAGGATAATAGTAAGTCTCCTGTATGTCCTAATTAATTACTTGTGTGTTTATCAAAACACAATATATCAAATCTTTGTAGCCATTTGGTGACAAATGCCAGACTGTAATGATATCTCTTATAATGCAATAAAGAACTACCAAGAAAGCTGCCTGCACTATTTGGGAGAGGGACTCAGATTTGATAAGTAGCTAAAAATCAGTTTAATAATTCCCTATTTAGCCTTTAAATCTACTAATAATGTGACATTGTGTTTCTAATTAGGGGCTGAAAATGTTGATTTAACATTTACGTTGCTACAAATTACACCTTGCATTATTACACCTGTATTATTAAAAAAGATGATATTTCAAACATAAAAAGGAATTTATAGAGTCAGGCACAGAGCTTAAGTTTTTTATAATGAGTCCTTCATCTTCAGGTCAGGTTCCATAATCTGCTACCAGTTAGCTGAGTGTGAGGAAAACAAAATGGAAAAATATGGAAATGTGAATAACTGCTGAAATTAAACCACATTTGTACAGAACGAAGTGTAACTATTAAAAGAGTCCAAAATGTTTGTGACACTGGTTCTTCAGCACTGTCACCATGACTTCTTTGAACATACACTGCATGCTGGGCAGTTACCAAACATCTACTGGCAGGGCATCTGACATGACAATCAAAGCCCAGCATTTTTTTTCTTAAGAGCAAGTATCTCCACACTTCTAATTACAGGACCACATTCCACAGAGGACAGTGGGCAGGCAGCACGTTCTGGGGAACAGGCCTGTGATAGTATTTGCTGACCATCTCTTTTCCTGCTCATAATCATCTTAACATACTTGCTGCTACATTGCTGATTTCATGTGGGAAAAAAGTTACCAGAAGAGTGGGCATCAATATCAGCCTCCTCGGAAACCTGGGGCTGCCTCCCTTGTCAGGAAAACTGTTCCAGTTTTTATAAGTACCAGTTGAAGATTTATTGATTTGCATTATGATGCAGTCAGTATAGTAGTGTTAAGTAAAAGAAGCACGACCAAAATAGCAGCTTGTAGAGAGTAAAATAATACGACAATTTAAAAAACAACCCTACCCTTAACAAAGCTGTGGAGCCATACTCCACTGAGGGAACAACCACTCCTGCAACCTCACTGCTAGTCAATTCACAGCATTTGTGCTGGTCAAGCTCCTTCATCACACTTAGAGGACAGCAATGCCTCCCCTAAAACGTTATGTTCCGCCTGAACTGAAATCAGAGCTGAGCATTGCTTCCTAAGCCAATGAACCATCAAACTGTGACAGAGACCAGACATTTCCTTAAACAATACCCAGTGCTTGTACAACAGCAAGACAGGTCTGAAGAAAAATGGGAAAAAAATGGGAAGCTGGGCAATCACCTGCTGCTGACCTACTCCTGCAGCTACTGCCTGTTCTCTACCCAATACCACAGGACTACCAGCAAATCAGGCTGAGGCAAGGCTTGAAAACACAGCATCTCTTTGCTCTTGCTTCCTTTACCTAAGATCTGTCTAACTCATGCAACATTGTTTTCAGGCACTGAGTATGAAGATGGATATTCAAGTTATCAAGTAAGAAAGCACTCTTCCTTGCAAAGAAAATGGCCAACAAACAATTTAATTCCTGCAGGACAGAACTGCCTTATACGTAGGCTTGGCAACTGAATGTTGCACTCACCTCAACAAAGATGAAGCAGGGGATGATGGAATAACTTCTCTGGGTATTGTTTCCTAAAGCCATTTCTCATCACACTTCTTGGGGAGGCACTGCTCAAAACTTTATTATCCTGAAAAAGAAAAGACAGCAGTATTTCAATGTGATTCACATTTTTGTGAGCTCCATGTTTAACACAACAAGGTTCACAACATGCACCTCTGACATTCTGGACCAGGGATACAGAACATTGAAAAGAGCATTAGGGTCTAATTGTGGTCATACAAAATAACCTGAGAAGGCATTCCCTTTGAGAACAAAACTAAGAGACAGACACAGGTTACAAGACACATCATCTACAGAGCAAAGAACAACAAGGAATACAACTGTTTTCCTTATATACAATCCACTCCCACACAAAGGCTTATTTCAGAGCAGTGTAAAATCATATTTTCAGCCCACTGTCTTGACTACAGTCTGTTCTAAATAAAGAGCTTTTGGTAATTGGCTTGTGAAGTTATACTTTAAATTACATACTTTAGTGCATTAACTGTATACAGGATCAAAATACTTATCTGCATGAGGTAGGACCTGCCCAAGACAACAGCATGTCTAATGCCCACAAAAACCATAACAAACAAATCTGGACCAGGCCCCTACTGCAGAGCCTTTCTAGCTTGCTGCAAGTTTGCAAATTAACCCACAAAACCCTACCTGCAGTACTTCAGGCTACTGGCTGTTCTAATTAGCATAACCTTAGAATGCTCTGTGCTAAGACTCTTCATCTACTTACAGCACAAAAAGTAGAGAAGAAGGCAAACACGGGAGAATTTTTACTGGGAATACGTGTGCTTTCCTGCAAGCATAAGGCAACATATCAAGGCACTAAGCCTGGCTTAGATGATTTTAAGAGAGGACTAGGCTAGCAGAGAAGGGGGGCTGGAAATGCAGCATGAAGCTCTGATCTGCCAGGGATGTGCTTGCATAGAGCATCTGACACAGAAGAGAATGGAAACTCTTTGCTATCAGTTTTCATGGGAACACATGAAGCAAGAGCACAGATTTGGGTGGGTCCAACCTCATCCCCTCCATCACTCACACAGAAACTCTGCCCCAGTCATAAGCATCTCCAGAGGCCAGGGCCAGAGGGGAGGAAGGAGGTGAAAGTAGCTGTATTTTCCAGAGGATGCTTTGCACAACATCTCCTGGATTCTCTGACCTCACTGGCATCTGGGTGGCAATTCAGGCACTGGCATATGGAGCCTGTGAGGTTCACAAGGGGGTCAGTGCTTTCCCACCAGCTCTCAGCAGGGTTACTGGAAGAAATACTATTATCAGAGCACTGAGTTCAGCAGAGGCTACAAATCCTGACTGAGGAGCTGGGATCAGCTGCCAGTGCTTGCCACCTGCATCATGATGCAGGCTCTTGTCTTGCAGCCTATGAACTACTCAATGTATTAACTCAGCTCTTCATCGTTTGACCCAGAGCTGTACAATACACAATGTATATGACATTTTGGTAATACAGGTCTAGGGACAGCACAGTTCCAGGGACTCCAGTGAAGCTGCATGATGTCAGAATGGCTTCTGAACTACTAACCATTGAAAAATGCAGCTCCAGGTCAAACAAAATACTCAGGAAATGTCATCTGTGTCACACTTCAGGCACACTCATCTTACACAGCATCCCTAAAATACAAATATCCTGGATTTTCAATATGCTTGTTTTGCCATATATTCAACTTTGCTTGGGAAATAAAACAGGATTTATCTCAGTGGTTACTGTCATTTATTTTTTTAAAAAGGGCAAGGTAATACAGACTGATTTGGGCTGTGGAAAAAATTCCCAATAGTTTTTTAACAATACTTGTCACATTGCCAGCTCTTCTGCCACGTGGCTCTCCCTTTAATTTGGCAAACACATGGTAACTGGTAGAATAGTAGGTTAAAGAGTTAGAGCAGCTTACAGAGAATCATTCCACTAAACTCTTTTTGTATCCTGAAGATACACTGTCAGCATCTTTTTTTGCAAATCCTGTTTTTCAAATGGCTTAGTGCAAAGATGTTAATACCTCAGCACCTTCCAGAATGCTTTACTAGGCGAAGCTTAGCAACAACCAAGATATTCCCTAACACTGTCCTGCAACTTCAAGCTGTGCCTTTACTTTCAACAGCTGTGGCTGGTGTGTCCCTAACCAAAGCAGAGGGCTGCAAGACAACCTAAGAATTTAAAGTGTTCTCAACAGATGACTGAAAAGCAACTGCAGAGACTACAAAGGAAACTGAGGGCTCTTAGCAGTCATATAAAGCTGCCTAATTTAGTGCTAGGGGACTCCTGATGTCATTAGTACATATACTGTGTCTATTCTTTTAAGCTGATTCTGCACCATTGGTTTAAAAAACTTCATTGCCTATGGGAAAGAATTTTACATGTCAGCTTTGCTCCTACATGATGACACATTTGTGTCAGACATAAGCAGAGACCAAATAGTTGCCTGATCAGACCAGTTAATTCCCACATTGCGGGAAAACTCACAGCTAGCCTGTGCTTGTCATAGCAGGTCTTTTCATCAGCTCACTCACAGAAGGGGAAAGGGGAGGAACAGAGGCAACTTGGAGGGAGCACGATCACTCTCTCCAGCTGGCAGTCAGTCCCCTGGGGACACAGACAGCAAAACACGGATTACAGCAATCCCTAGATGCTCCAGTCTGCAGACCAGCCAGAGACAACTCACTTCTGCCCAAAAGATGTAAAACAAGTGTTTAATGACAGCCCTGTTGTATAATCCATGCAGACCTCTTCGCACTGAGCCAGTTTTCAGAGTACAGAGCCTCTGCTGAAAGCAATGGGAAATAACTGCTGTATAGCAGCACCTGGTATTGTCTTCTCCAGTACTTTTAGTTTTATTAATTGGACTCAATTGTTAAGGAAGTCATGTCAGTAAAAAACATGAGAGGCTTTTGAGGTCCCACTAGTGACCTTTTGAGGCCTGGTATGTGAGGCCTGGATGAGAGCTGAGTTGGTCAAATGTATTCCAACTAATTAGGGACAACTGTAGAGGGAATATTAATATTCTGAAGCTCTGGTATTTTAAGATGCTTCTACTTTTTAAACAATGTATGTAATTGTATAATGTAATATTTATTAATTAATTAGCATTAGTTAAGTTCTCAACTTCCTCAATTTATCCCATATGCATTTTCAGAAAGCCCCTGATCTACAGCATAGGAGGTTATTGTCTGACATCTCCTGGGAGAACAAGCAGAGACACAGAATATACATAAGTGAATAGAAAATTAACTGAAAAGGACAGCACAGAAGAAAGCATTCAAGCTGAAGAGATTTTCCTGCCGCAGGGATCCATTCAGGGGAAAAAAATAAAAATGAGACTCAAAGAGTGGAGGATAGAAGAATGTTCTAAAAAAAAGGTTACTAACCAGCTGAATTTCTAAAAGCCATATTCAGGTATGTTCTAAAGCTTTTTATGTGCGCATGTGGCAGACAGCAAAAAGGACATATCTAGGACAAGACAGCATTTGCTGGGCCTTTGTAATTTAAGCTCCTGCAAGAAGACACACTGCAACTGACTGTTGCACTGAATCAGTGCTCAAACCAATTAATTGCTGGTCTGTTCCTCAGGACACAGTGATGTTTTTTAAGCTATGACTTGCATAGGTGAGAAGAGAAGATTAAAATGATGGGTTTATGTACTGCTACAGTTTATATGTGGGGCACCTGTGGAAAATACTAAAATCAACAACCCAAAAAAGCCAACAAGCTTTGTTTATCACAGTTTTTAACCTATGTTTCATTTAATCCATACCAATGCATGCTTCTTTTGCCAGTAGCTCAGTGGTCGCCAGCCTGAAATGAAGGATCTGCTGCACAGACCAAGAGAGCAGCATGGCCATGGGCACATGTAGACATGGTTTACTGCAGAAACACCTCAGCTGCTCAGAGCAGAGGTGGGGAGGGCAACCACTGCGGCTTTTTTGTACCAGGAGGTGAAAAAAACACAAAAAAATTGATTGGATTTCCCAACCTTCTTCATCTAGACAGGTTCATGATCTTTTGAGCAGCAGCTCATGTTCTTTCTCAAAACTAAATGAAAATGCTGGATTAGTAGGGACAGAACTGTGGTATTACTGTAACAATACAAAAGCTAAAATGTGAGCATCTATCCATTTACAATTAGTTTAACCTTGCATTAACAATTTGCACCCCTCTGTTGGCAATTGGCTTTAAACTGTCTCACTCTAACCATCATTTATTACACCAGTTCTTACAGGTCTCATTCTAAAGCAAGTCCTCTATTTCCTGTGGGGGAAACACAGCCAGGAGTTGAAGCAATTAAGTCAGACATCACACAATGACTCAATGTCTAGGCTGAAGAAAGACATATTATTCTCAGATTCCTGTCAAGTGCTCCATCCACTTGAATGTCTACACTTGAACTGTAGTTGCTAATTGCCACATTAGAACTCCGCAGTTCTCATTGTTCATTTAATTAATACAGGTTTCCCTTAGCTTGCAACTGAAACCAAACCATGTTTTCCTACTGCAACCACAACAGAATGAACACCAGAGCTCTGCACAAGCACTGATCAAACACACGCCAGATGTGGCAGCCTCAAATCCCCTCTCTGCAGCTTCACCCCTGGCATGTCCAAAGGCACCTCACTACCCCCGTGCAACCCTGGCATGAACATGCATGCCACTTTGAACAGGTTGCAACAGGAGAGCAGAGGGTTAAAAGGTCTTTCCCAAAGCTTTTCCACATAAACCTAATCAATGCCTACAAGGAACCAAAGGTTAAGATTTTCTTGCAAACAGAAGTCATGGCTATTTAAATTTCTCTTGGCTGAAGTACAGATGTTTTCAGTGTTTACAAAGTGATCAGAAACACTGAGTGAATCACTCCAACAGCCAAATTGTGTGAGGGAAAGTACAAACGACATTGTGGCATAAAGACCTGCTATGATTTGGTTTCTCTGCAGACTGTCTGCTGTTACTGCATAAACCCACTAAAACCACAAAAACAGCACTTCTGAAACAATTAGAAGGTACCAAACAGGCACTCAGTTTCCTGACTGAATGAGCAGAACACACCAGTTTTGACCTAGAAATGGGAA